CTCTCTCTCTCTCTCTCTCTCTCTCTCTCTCTCTCTCTCTCTCTCTCTCTCTCAACAAACGAAAGAAAAAACTGCTTGAAGCACAAATGGCACGTCCTCCCACTCCTCCTCATGTCACCTTCTCAAAGCATCCTTCTCCTGCCACAAGCTGTCCCACACAGGAGCCTCGTCATCGTCCGCCCATTCCTCCTCCCAGTCATCGTCACCCCATTCCTTGTCTTGCCCTTCTTCTTGTTGGTCATCCTTTCTCCTCCTGCACATCGTCCTCTTGGTCGCCTTCCCCCAGTCGTCTTCCCATTCTGGAACCCACATTAAGCTCCCATTTGTGCCCAGCTCAGTCGGTACACCCCTGAACAGGCTGAACTGTTAAATACGGACCTGAGTTCAAACTCCACTGGGAGCAGATGAATCAAATACTACAATGCTGAATTATCTGGGGCCAGGCTGTTCAGTGATTGAAAAGAAAAAACAAAAAGCAAATTCAGTGATTGAAAAGAAAAAACAAAAAGCAAATAGGCAGTCATGGGCTCAAAACCTGCAAAGGAAAGCAAGTTTCAGACAAACAGTATGACGCAGTGAAGGTGAAGGCAGCAAAAGCCAACATAGAAAGAGGCAAAAAAAAAAAAAAAAAAGAAAGAGCAAAAGAAATGGAAGCTGATGGTGGTAGATTGTTTTGTCAGAGTTGCACCGAGTGATGAGGAGGCTGAATCCTCAACAATCTGCGCAATCTCCATACTTGATGGTTTGGGCCACTAACCCTTTGACCCATGTTGAAGGCAGACTGCCCCCAAGCAGAACATAGCAGCGGGCAGCAACCCAGCAGAGCACCAGGCAACGCAGTAGAGGCAACACAGCTGCACAATGCAAAAACGACTGCAAGGAATGACACGGCATGCAGGACACGCAGCGTGACAACCACGCAGTGAAGCACAAGGCAACACCACCAAGGCAGCCACACTGCAAGGGACGGCAGCGCAAGCGGACGAGCAGCACAGCAACCGTGCAGTGAAGCACAAGGCAACACCAACAAGGCAATCGAACTTCAAGGTGCACAAGCGAAGGACACAGCAGGCACGGCCAGCGGAAGGGCAGTCAGGCAGCAAAGCAGCGAAGCGCAAGGCAACACCGACAACATGGCCGCACCACACAGCGAAGACAGCAGCTTACCAAGAATGACCTGCGAAGCAAGTGTAACGGGCAGCAGGACAGCGGCGGTGTGCAAACGAGGCAGTCCACACATCCAACGCGGAGCAAAGCAGCACATCACCGACTCATATCACGAGTGAACCCCGCAGACTGTTGGTTCCCACCACACCACTGCGCCAGGGAGTCACTCCGACAAGCATCCGTCATCACCCACAGGCAACACAGACATCCCGAACCGAACGCTCCCCCTAAGAGTGCTGTAGGCACTCCAGACGAGGGATGACCAACTGTTCGGCAGTACTTAAAGGTGCTCAGTTGGGCACACAAAAAGTACTTGAAAAATTTGGAGGAAGACAAACATACATAAAACTGTTTGTGCATGTGTGTGTGTGTGTGTGTGTGTGTGTGTGTGTGTGTGTGTGTGTGTGTGCGTGTGTGTGCTGAATTGCTTTGTTTGATGCAGGCTAGTTGTGACATTGTAGGGGTTGTTTTGAGTATTTTGGTCACCCTCTTGTCTGGCAGTATCGAGGACTTCTGTCGGGTTTTGTCTATCTGCTCGTTTGGCAGTTTCACTACAATTGTGCGCTGATGCTCTCAGCTTGCTGTGCTTCTGCTTGTGCGTTGAAGCTCGTGTAAATGCGATGTCAGTTCGGAAATCCAGGCAGCTGGGTATGGTAGGCCCTTTATATTTGGGAATTGATCTCTGAGTCTGTGATAAGGTGGCGTAAGCGGAAGTTGTCTCTATCTATCCTTCTGAGGCCCCAAAGGTGGGCCTTATGCAACACCATGAACCAGAAAGGAAGGTAGAGCATTTTGTGGCATGGCGTACTGGCACAAAGCCTGTCACAGCACGCTATCTCAAGGGTAGTTGGGGAAGCTGCCAACGGGCATACCTTAGTTGGTACACCCAAGAACTGTTGAAACGCAGACCTGAGTTTGAAGATGAAAAAAAAAGAAAGAGAGAGAGAGAAAGAAAAAAAACTTAAAAAGAAAAAAAGAATGAAATCAAAGAATTCTGAATGACATGGGCCCAGCCAGTTGATCAATGATGCTTTACGCGTTCAAGGCTTCAAGGCGAAAAAAAACGAGGGGATGAAGTGGGACCACAACCCTAACACCAAGCGTGGAAATACAACCAAGTTCAGGGGTGCGACTTTGCTTGCAATCAATGGCAGTCTCGGACCCTCAGATCATATCATCGATCCGTGGTTATGTGGATCCTCTTCTTTATAATGGCTATGGCTATGGATGAGGAAAAAAGATGGGGAACATGTCTTCAGGACCCGAAAATCACATCTCTGTGTTTTGACGTTTGTGAAGTCTCGGAATCAATTGCCTGAGCAGTGAGGCTAGAAGGGTACTGAGTGGCCCGACACGCAGGACGCTGGGTGTATGCTGTTGCAGCAATGCCTTGCACCTTTGGTTTTGCAGTGAGGCTAGAAGGGTAATGAGCAGGTGACGTTCCCAACCCCATGGACACTGGGTTTAAGTTGTGACGAGTGAAATTAGTGAATGCCTTGAGGCTTGAACCCATTGTTTTTCATTTCATTGCTGATTTGATGGTGCAGGTGCGGTGTTTGTGAAAGTATGTAGCAAAGGCAAGCGGACCTTGAGGGACGTCTGGATCTCAGAGTCGTTGGACCTCATCTACTGGGCCAAAATGAAGGTATGTCTTTCTTTCCAGTTTTTGTTTTAATTTTGGCATTCTATTTTTGGAACACCAATCCTTCAAACGAAGTTACTCCGTAACCTAAATTTCCTGAGCCTGTTGTCTCCAGTGGGGTTACCGATCAGTGCTGGGGGGCTGAGACCTCCTCCGCTCCTCCGTGGATGCACGGATTCGAACCAGAGCCCTTGGCCACTGGAGCAGAGCCAAGACTCTTAACTAGTACAGCCATGACACCGCGTATTACAGATTCCCTCCAGTCTTGCTCTCTGCGGCGTTTTCTGCCACCCTTGGCTGCGGACGAGGCACTGTCACCGGTTCCTGATGCAGGACTTGAGGACTGCTCCCTCACAGCCAGACACAACTCAATTATAGATCTGCCAAGCCAGTAAAGATTAGATAAAGGTTAGGATCTCGACGTCCTTACCCAGTCCCGACCGTCTGGGTCCAGGAGAAGAGGGCGGTGTGGAGGGAAATCAATCTGGTGTTTGTGAACGTCGAATAACGAAGTGGAAACACGTAAAGAGAGAAAAGGGAAAAAAAAAAAAAAAAGGAGGGACGGAAAAAAAGAAAAATTGAAATCGTGCTTCTCACGGCCAAGGCGCTGGACCTGCTGCTCGCCTCAGGTCCAGTAACTTCTATCACAGGCAGGCGAGCACCGGTACCAACACGACTTTCCCACAGGCCAGTCGCGGCCTGATTTAGGCTCGGCCAAACCTATTTTTGAGGTCCATGTGTTTTGTTTTGGTGCGATTGGTGGCTCAAAAGTTGAGTGGCTACAACCCTACAACAGTCTTTTCGAATCTCTGTGGAACTCGGTGAATTATGCAGGCAGCCCTCATGCGCATCCCTCCTGTTTAATTCAGACCACATTTTACTGTGTGAATGATGCAGTCATCCCTCCTGTAGTCCTGTTTAATTCACACACATCCTACTGTTTTCTAGAAATTTCTCTCCCCTTAATTTGGACGTTATTGTATCTTTTTCTCAGAAATTTCTCTCATTGTTTTGGAGTTTTCCTTCTGTTAACCCACCACTATGTTATGTACCCGACGATTGCAACCAAATCCACAATGATCTCACATGTTCCCATACACGCATGAAGATGCAGAGCAGACTTGAAGGAGGTTTCAAATCCACACAAAACCGGAGTGAGATACGTAGCCAAAGCTCATCACACGAGAAAGAATTGAAGAACAATTTCAATTCTGAAATTACCCCCGTCCTCCTCCAATCAATCCGGAAAGTACTTCATTCCAAGAATCACAACCACGTTGTCCACAAACCCCGAACAACCAAGATCACATGTTCAACGAAGTTTCAGGGAGTCTTCTTCTTCCTCCTCCTCCTCGCCACCTCATCACCCTGGCTATGGCTGCCGTAGCAGCAGAACCCCCGAACCATCACCCGGAGCCGATCTGAACCAGAGGTCCCCAAAACAGTTGCCGCAGCTCAGCGCCCGCACGGAAGTGCAGCACTAGAGATCCTTGATGAAGTAGAAGACGACCATTCAAGAGAGTCCCTCATACGGAGGAACTTCTGTCAGGCTGCCACCTGGAAATACTGGCAGCGCCGAAATCCAAACAACCCAGGCATGGTGAAACTCTGGCTGCAATGAAGCCCTGATTCAGGGCGCTCTTCAACAACCCTCACGGCCACCAGCTATGGCCTTCGAAGGAAGAAGAAGATGACGACCTGAGTACCCAAATAGCGCTGCTGTGCTCAATCCCCAACCCGACAGCGTTTCGTCAGCAAGGTAAAAAAATGAAAAGACCGGACCGACTTCGACAACACTGTTTTTCTACTTCGACCTCGGACCCTGCAACCCACAGCCCGTGAAAAGGAAAAATCTACAGGCTACCGTCTTCCCCCGAACATAACGCACCCTTAAAATGAATGTATACAAGTCGTATTTCCGGCCAGATACAGTCAAAATGATGGTGCGTTGTGTTCCGGGGAAGACGGTAGGGAGAGAGAGCAGAGAAGGACCAAATAGAAAGTAGTCCTACTGGTTCTAAGCCTCCAGACAAGAGTGTGCCCAGCAACGGCCAGGTCAAGTGATCAAGCCCTGCGGGGCTCAAAACAGTAAGAAAACAGGCAAACCGCCACACAGTCAGTGTACACCTGCTGTTACCTGCAAGTTCATTGCAACTACCCGGGCCTCGTTTTCACATTGTGGGGTACCCAATTGTTTCGGAGGCCAAAACAAAACCACGGCCGCTGATGAGATTTATCAGTGGGGCAGCCGCTGTCGGGCGCAGGCCCCAAATTTTTAGGAGTACTAGAGTAGGTTATTTTCCCATTTTACCTACAGCAGGAAAGGTAGTAGTGGTTTAAGCGGTTGTATTTGTTTTTTTCTTCAAATCTTGTTGATGGTAGTTTTTGCAAACAACATCCAGTGTCATCCACCACTCTATTTCAAGAGTATCTAGAGTTTCTTCTAGATATTTTCTGGCTTCCGAAGAATTTTCTTTCTCGAGGTTCTTGCTGCTGTCTGAGCATGTATGTGCCTCTTCGTTTGTTGTGTGCATCTCCGTCTCCTCATATCGCTCTAGAAGTGGTGGCGAGTTCGAAGTATACCTGTCCAGTCAGTGTCCAAGGTTTCTTGTGGACGCGTACTCAAGTACCCTAAATCGGCAGATCCGGATGTCCTCTTGACGTTGACAATCTCCTCTGGGAAGACGCTGGACCTTGAGGTAAGGAATTTCCGTTCATCTTAGATACAGTTTTCAAATCCCTCACCACTCACTCCCCTTCAGCTTCCCTTGGCACCCTCCAAATTGTACCTCTTCGCCAAACGTACCTCAAAGCTGGGCAACAGTCCACTTGTTCGTAGATCGTTTTTTTTTTTTTTTCTTTTTTTTTTTTAACAACACAAGGCCCGTTCTATTCTGCTGGGCAACAGTCCACTTGCTTATCACCGGCAAGCATGTTAAACAACACAAGGCCCCTTCTATTCTGGGGCGCAACAGTCCATTTGCTTATCACCAGCAAGCATGTTATGTTTGTACATCCAAAGAAGGGGGGAGGCAAGACCAGAGAAGGGGAACATTCTAAGTTCTAACCCTTGCGGCACTACCGTCTTCACCCGAATATAATGCCCGGTCATTATAGCCGTATTTGGACCCATTTTCTGTCCAGATGCAGCGATAATGACCGGGCGTTCTATTCGGGTGAAGACGGTAGTCGCCTAGCAAGGGGGGAGGAGCTGCAAAAGCCCCCCCCCCCCCCCCCCCCAAACCATGGTCTTTAACAGTCGGTTTTTAAAAGGTAGCCAGTTGACCAGACATGTCATTCTCATCACAACAGATAGAACCAGAAGGTTCGATTACCGACTTTTTGAAAGTTGAAAAGAAACTGGGAATCAGTCGTTACGGAGTTCATATTCTTTGATCTTTGACGCGGTCTTCTTATACCCGTTAAAATTCGAACGATACAAACTATTACAAAGAAGATTAGCATGGCCCCTGCGCTCTCGAGGATGACACGCATAAATCGATAAATGGTCCAAAATAATAATAGGAAGAAAAAAAAAATTAAAAACAAAAAGATTTCTTTTTTTTAACCCCTCTCTTGTCCTCTTTGTGAGCGGGATGTTCTCCCACCAGTTTCAACATCCCCTGTGTGAGTGAGTGGGAAGTTGTCCAACTAGATTCAGGACAAAGAAGAGTCTGAGATGGAGATGCAATGCAAGGGACCTCTCTAATAAAATACAGATGCTGCCTTTTTTGAAGTTTTTTTTCAAATTTTTTGAACCATTTCTCAATTTATGTGTGTCATCCTTGAAAGCGCAGGGGTCATGCTACGCTTCTTTCTCTGTATCATTCAGTGCTGTAAAACCGGTAGGACCGGGGGTCCCTCCCCCAACCAGAACTGGACGGGTCCTACTGACCGGTTGACCGGGCCAGCTCCCACCCGGTTCGCCGTAGTGCATCAATTTTTTTATTTGTTTTTTTTAAGCCCAGGGTGTTGTAGAGGCCAAGGACTAGACCCACGGTGATTGCTGGTAGCAGCAGCCGGTGGTTGTCCTGCAGGATAGACCACCTTCCCTACCCTTCCCCACATTAATACTCCCAGCGCACCCCATATCCCTACTATCCTACCTCAGTGTGTCCAGCACTCAGGACCATCACCCTACCAGTATGGAGGCCTCCACGCAGGCCGTGGAGGGGTCTCCTGGCCCAAAACAAAATCAGACCGGGTCCGGTAGGCCCGCCAACAAGGCTTGAAAAGGGCGGCCTATCTGGACCGCTGATCTCAAGAGATCGGCAGCCCAGATAGGCGGCCCTTTTCAAAGTTTTTGGGTGGGAAGTATCGTCCCTACCCTGCCACTAACATCCCCCACCCCACTTCTCAAAGTTTTTGGGCGGAAGGTCAACGTTCGCTGAAAGCCAGGTACGTTGCTGTCAATATCTGCTGAAGCCCATGCTTGCTGAAACCCCGCCACTAACACCCCCACCATAAACCCCCCAAGCCCC